TTTTTCTACCTCTCATTCCTTTCAGTTCTGATTTGTTTTATTATGCATTACTTAAGCAGTTTATTGTAAACATTTTAATATACTATTTGGAAATGTTTTTATTCACAACCTGTTTGAGATCACTAAAAGACTGCTTTCTGAGGCAATACCTGATCCCTGTAAAACATATGCCCCATCTGATCTACTAAAATCATAAGGATCCTTTTATTTTATAAATGGAGAAACTAGGAACAGTATCAATTAAGTCAACTGCTCAAGGCTAGCCTGGTAATTATAAAGTAGACTTCCTGAACTGCAGACCATTATTTTTTCCAATCCCATTATGTTGCCTTCAGAGTTCCTGGGTGGTGCAAATGGTTAAGTGCTCAGCTATTAACTGAAAGGTTGGCGGTTCGTAATCCACCCAGAAGTGCCTTAGAAGAAAGGCCTGGTGATCTACTTCTGAAAGGTATATAGCCATTGAAAATCCTATGGAGTGCAGTTCTACTCTGAAACATGAGTTGGAATTGCCTTGACGTCAACTTTTTTTTTTTTTAAGCTACCTTCATCATATTGGATTAAAAAGGCTTGTTAGGAAAGGAATATTCACTGAGGATGTTAAAATCCTCCACCTCTAAATAAGTTTATCTAGAAGAAAATGGCAATCTTGAATTATTTTTCTTATTTTTTCTTACTTTCTTCCTTGTGTACTCAGGGACAAAGGCGAAATCTCACTCGAGTTTACACTATAGAAAACGTTTATTGTTTTCCTTTTCATCCTTTCTCAGTTAACTGAGCAAATTTAATGGAGTTCAAAGACCCTGGGTCTTTGGGGAGCCAAGAGTTTCTCTACCTAATACCTCTATCACTCACTCAGTGCTTAGAACCACATTTTGGTTCTTCATTCAAAAAAAACGACTTCACTTTAGTCATTTGTTCAGTCTGTAAAACCTAACAATTTAGTAGCTGACATGAGTACTGAGTGTTCTGCTGTGTCAGGAGTACATATATACCAATTAATCCAAAGACTTGTCTGTAGACAGGTGCACTTTCTCCTGGCAGCTGCTTCTCTTCCTTGGCTAACTCCCAGATTGCTTTGAACTTGGTACTCAGGATCAAGGCCCCAAGCTGAAGGCCTGGCAGAACGCAGTGCTTATTAACTGGGCACTGAGTCTACCTCTGCCAATTTTAGCCCTGTCTAGAGATGGGGGTGCTGTTCTTACCCAGGATATTAAGAATTGACTAAAGTGGCCTCAGAAGAGTTGCTTCCACTTTCACATACCTACTTGAAAGTGGATTTTCGGCAATGATTGTGATAAAAGCAAAGTATCAGAAAGAAATGGCCATTCAACCTCCATTCTCGATGACACCAAAAAATTTTACTATTTCGTGAAATCCCATAATCTTAAGATCTCCAAACTGACAAATGTGTATCAATAAAATAACAGCATAAAGTGTAACATTCATTGTAAAATAAAATTTTATATGTAGCTATTTTTGCATTTGAAATTTGTTTTCAGTATTCCTAATTTTTCTTTATTGTTAGTGTAAAGTTGCTAACTGTCCATTCTAAGATATTGGTGTTAAAATGCTTTTAGAAATGGTAGTGATAATGGATGGTAAGTTATAGTTTTAATATCTTCACACCTGACAAAATAGTAAGAGTTGGCACCTAAATTTTTACTATTTCATAAAATCAGTCTTGAGAAACCATGTCAGAAATGTCCAGCACAATACAACCTGACAGAAAGTTGCACTCCCACTGGCAAACAGTAGATGAGAACCAACCTATTTTCTAAATACAATCAGTGGGAACCAGCAATCTGGATAATCCAGTGCATTCGAACCCCTGATGTTTTTAATGACCTTAGCCAATATGATCATGCACAACTCATACATTCTTTTAAGTTAGCTAGCAGGTACTGCAATGTTTGAGGTGTTAAGGGTTAGCTACTTTCTGACAATCTCTGTACCAAGTTAGGAAAAAAAAAAATGAAGCCCAGGTTTAACTGCCCCACATACAGATATTTATTAGCCAACATACAGCCTGTTCTGTTAGCTTAGTGAAGACCCATTTCTGTTTCTGTGGTTCACTCACCACTTTGCAGCATGAATGGTCCATTTAAGGCCGACTGGTCAATAATCCAGAGAATCCATCAGTGACAGCCAACCAGAAATCGTGGGACAAAATAACCTCAGGTACCACGCCAAAGGGTACAGGCTACAGGTCTCATTAGATTCTGCAAGCCTTTTCTTGCAAAGACCAGGAACTACTCTGAAATAATTTAGTCAGTTCACATATTCTGAATACCTCTAGTTTACCAATGAGAGCCCTATTAATATCTAGTATATTGATCAACAAGGTATTAATTTCAAAAAGAAACCTACTTCAAAATTTAATTATCAAACCTCTGGTGGTGACTGATATGGATACCAGAAGCACTTGTAATAGCTGCCTCTGGTGTTTCTGATTAGAACACCAGCTAGCCACTCCTGGAGCGGAAATTTCTAGTTAGAACTATCAACTACTGCTAGGTTATGTGTAACCCTACACACATATAAATGCAACACTGCCTATTCTGAAACAAATGAAAGTAAATTACAAATGTGATTGGGAAAAGAAAAAAATTCCAGACAACTTCCCCAAATTTTCAGGACCCAACAGATTTTGTTTCAGATATAGATAGGGGGGCAGGCAGTGTGAATATGGGGGGGGGGTGGAGAAAGGAGTCTTCACTGTTCTGAAAAATTCCCTATCCCAAACTGCAATGCCATACACTGCCCTTTCAGCAACTATAACTAATTCTTACTTAGACCAACCACAGAAATTCTGCAGCTGCTTACAGAAATGATTATAAGCCCTATTTTTATTAGAAAAACAGAATTTAACAAATCATTTTATTTTTATTATTTTGAAATGTTTCATCAATTCTATGTAGAAGCACTACATCATCAAATGGGGAATAAGCAAATTAAAAATGGAAAGGTTACCTACCAATTTATGGTAAGCACAATTTTACTGAAAAGAAAATGAGATAAAACTTCAAAAAACTAAAGCTCTTAAAAATAAAACTGTTCCTCCAAATGTTAACCCAAAACCAAACCTGTTGCCATCGGGTCAATTCCAACTCATAGCGACCCTATAGGACAGAGTACAACTTCCCCCATAGGGTTTCTAAGGAGTGGCTGGTGGATTCGAACTGCCAACTTTTTGGTTAACAGCTGAGCTCTTAACCACTATCACACCAGGTCTCCTCAATTGCTACACATGAAATCAATTTGTAGTTACCAAAGTGTCCGTGTTCTGCCGGAAGAAGAGTTCTCCCTAGCGGTCTTTTGTAGGAAGGAACTAGAACAAAGTTAATAAAAAATTACTAGGTAAAACCAAAACCCGTTGCCGTTGAGTTGATTCCAACTCATAGCAACCCTACAGGACAGAGCAGAACTGCCCCATAGAGCTTCCACGGGGCGGCTAGTGGATTCAAACTGCCGACCTTTTGGTTAACAGTCGAGCTCTTAACCACTGTGCTACTAGGTAAACAGAACATAAATAAAGAAGAAATTCTTTATAGAATTGGTACCGTGATGTTAGGAAGATTTATAAATAATTAGTTCCTGAATTCTAAATAGCTTCAGCTAAAATCATAGTTTAAAATGTGCAAAAATGGCAGTCCTTCCTTATTAAGTTGATTTGTTTTTGTTTCAAATTCCTTACAGGTTCAACCTTTAAAAAATACAATATTAGATCAAAATGAAATTCAGAGGTAATCAGAATTAAATAGTCCCTAACAAGATGCTAAAAGATAATCTGAAAATGGAGGTTCTTTCATCTAGCAAACATTTATTGAATGCCTATTAAATATGAGGCACTGCTCTAGGTATGGGACATATCAGTGAACAAAAACCAAAAATCACTGCTCCATTTTAAATTTAAGGGAAAACTGTAGTCCCTGGAATGTTGACCAATTAAATACTTTCATAATTATGGTTTAGATTTGTTCTGTTATTGGTGCTTGTCTAAACAAAAAATATTTTGACAACATTTACTAGATTCACTAATTCCCTTCTTGAACATACGTTAGTTACACTGTACAAAACTCCAACTCACTATGTACCAGCTCGGCATTCTGAGGTGGCTTAGGAGACTTCTCCGTTTCCAGATACTCACCCTGGGCTAGATGCACATGTGCCTGTGAGGCAGTGCTCACAGCTGTTCTGAGGTGCCTTTCCTGAGCTGCTTCTCTGCAGTACTCTCAAAACCAACCTCCTCCAACACTAGGTATCTGTTTTAAGGTACCAAAAACCCATTGTTGCTGAGTCAGTTCCAACTCATAGTGACCCTATAGGACAGAGCAGAACTGCCCTACAGGGTAGGGCATTCCAAATATACTCTCAAATTTTTGTGAATATCACCCAATGGTCCTCAACTATGGGGCACCTTTATTTGGGGAAGGGTCGTCACATTAGTGGGTAAGGGCCAAGGAGGCTAAATGAATCCTGCAATGGGATGACAGTCTTTCCAATGAAATGTCCCACCCAAAAGCCAACAGTCTCTGCACAGTAAGAGACACTGAGCTGTTGTCACATAGTGAAGTAACAAAGGCAGAGATGTCATTTTAGTTACAAATTTTTTTCTACTAGAGAACGTGTCATAATTTTATTAACTATAAAAATATTATATATTTTATTAAATACCAAATATCTACATGCCACAAAATTTTTTTCAGTGAAAACTACCCAGGAAAGTACAAAACTACTTAATAGCTGGGTTTCTACTCCTTGGTTTGGTGAAAAAACTCTTACAGGCAAACTGAAGGTATCTATTAAGTACTTACTGCACTGAACAGTTTTGAGAACATTTGTAACTTCAAGACTGTTTTATATCCTGTTCATTGATTTCTTCAAAAAGTATACTTTAAAAATAAATTATATAAAGAATTGCTCAGACTTGTTTGGTGACGCCTACACTTTAGGTTTCAAATTATGGCTAAAAAACCACATGTAAGCGATCTCTTTAGTGCAATTAAATGCTTTTTTTTTTTTTTTTTTTAAAAAAAAGGATCCTTTATAACAGTGGTTCTCAAACCTTAGCACACATTTGAATCCCGTAGTGGGGAGGCTTGATAGAATACAGGTTGCTGAGCCCCAACCCTGCAGTTTCTGACAAGTTCTAAGATGATGCTGATGCTGTTGGTCTGGGTACCATACTTTGAGAAACACTGCTTTAAGATATATTCTCCAGAATTCAGCAGCACTCATATGCTTTTCCTAATTAATAAATAACATTTCAGATATGCACTCATGCTCACATCAAACTTGAAATATTTAGACTCTTGAAATGTTCTACTTAAATAGAGCAAAACACATAATTTATTCAACTTGGTGCATGATTCCCATGAGTTGAAAGACACAGCCATAGGATAGTCCAGTACTGGATAATACATGACTATATGAAAACATTTCTTTACAAAATACAGAGCAGCTAATTAAGGCACAGGGACCTTGTTCCTATCTCCTCTTTGCTTCTCCCCTATAGAAAATCCAGTAAGAAATCACAGAGAATATTGTACCCAGACGGAGAACATAACCAACCTGTCATGAATGTATAAGGAAACATCAGAGTAAATTGTGACGCTTAAGACTCAGATTCAGGGACTTCATCAGGGCAGCAGTAATATTCCACAAAACTTATTTGTCCGTCTTCATTTCTAATCATATACTGTAATGAGAGGAATCCTCGGTTATCTGTCCGAATAGACACCTTACAAGATAGGACTAATGCCTTCGTAGACGGTTTCAGTAAAGAGATCTTGTATCTGTAGAAGAGTAAACAAAAAGCCGTTGAACACCCATACAGCAGTGCTCACTACTCCAAATACAAAAATTAGCCAACAACTACTTAGTGATTACAAGAATAAAATCAAATACTTGTCCAATTTGATATTTTCTTTTGATTTTTTAAAATTTCATCTACCATTACACAACCCTAAATCCCCAAGAAAATCCAGCACCTTACTGTTCACTTTTTTTTTAAATGTACATTTTTATTCACAAATGAGATTTTTTTTTTAATCTAATAAAAATTTGGTATCTAACTTCATCTTCATCACAAATGTCAACTTCTATATTAAGAACTGACCTGTTGATCTGGGTCTGAGTACAATGAAATGCTTCCATCAAATCAGAATCTTTGGGATAGTCAAGGTGGGAGCTTCCTGCATTTCCAAAAGTAGATAACCTAGAAAATGAATACCTCATTTATACAGTGATCCAACAATAAACCAGGCTAGGATCCAAATAAAAACATAATTTCTTAAGAAGTTCATTTTGGTGGGCAAAACATACATGTTAACAAATATTTACAATACACTATAAACAAGTAAGGAGCCCTGGTGGCACAGTGGTTAAGCACTTGGCTGCTAACCGAAAGGTCAGCAGTTCAAACCCACCAGCCGCTCTGCGGGAGAAAGATGGGGCAATCTGCTTCCATAAAGATTTACAAGCCTTGGAAACCCTATGGGGGCAGTTCTACTCTGTCCTATACAGTCACTATGAGTCGGAATTGACTCAATGGAATGGGGTTTGGTTTGGTTATAAACAAGTGCCATAATAAAGGTCCTCACATGATGCTATGGGAATACAGGGGAAGTAGTACCTAAGAAAGTTTTGAAAAAAAACAGTCACAAAAGGAAGTCCAGGGGTGCTTGCCTCAATTTTATTACCTTAATGCTTCTCTGGTACTGACTTTTCCTCATTCTTAAATCAAAAATATATAGCAGTGGAGGGAGAGTTGATGTGATGGAAGACCTACCAAGCAATTAGGGCTTTTCTGTATTTTAGACTATTCTTAAGCTGTTGTATGGTTTCCTTGGTTTAGTAATATCTACAGTTGTGTGAAAACAATTTATAAATGTCTACGTGTTTATTTAATCTACAAGTTTATTGATCATCTGCTGTGGGGTTAGTATGTTGGTAAGTACTGTATAAGCACAGTGATAAAAAACCTAGATGTTGGTTTTCCCTAAGGTCTACCTTCTCTCTCCTCTTCTAATGTAACTTCTTTTTCTGAGCTATCTTGTTCACAGCTAACCATGATGCTGACTCTCAAATGTAAATCTCTAGTCTAGACAGTCTCTTAAGCTCCATACTTCTATGTCAAACTACTTCCTAGTATCACAGAAATATTAAACATAGCCAGAAGAAAATTTCAATACCTCACAGCTCCAAACGGTTTCCTATCCTGCACTTGAAAGATACCACTATCCACCCAGGGCTTCGAACAGTTCTTTCCAGTTGTCATGGCTCAACAAGCAAAACAGAACAGACTCGCATTTTTAAAATTTGGGTGAACTGGAATGGTAACCAGAATGGAAAAAATGAAGGGTTGAAGCCCTGCTAGAAACCTAATCTCCCTCTTAGAAGACAAGGGCAGTGTACGCATTGCATAGCAACCAAATCTCTTGCCCCACAGATTTTGAGCAGAGTTGGAAACAGCGGTGCCCTGCTCAAAGATGGCGGCCGAAAGTGCCGCTTTGAATGTGTGTCCGTCTCCATAGTCCTGCCAATAATCCAATCTAAAGCATCAGGCTCCTGAAAGAGCTCACTATGCCTCTTCTTAGTCTCCTATTCCAGGGCTAGTTTCTCCCATTCCAGTTATCATTCTGGATCACCCAAATTGTAAAAATTTGGGTTTGTTCTGGTTTCACTTCGTCAGCCATGACTAATCCAGTTTGAAGTCATGTATCTGCCTAGTTACACATGCTAAAAGAGATCATTTTGAAGGGGAGCCTTTAAATACTGTTTAAATGCCTGGAATTTTAATTCATTTTTTTTTTTTTTTTAA